ACACTGCCAAGAATTGCACCCAGAGGGTTCTTCAATATCTCCAGTGAGGGAGACTCCACAGCCTCTCTGGGCACCTGTTCCAAAGTGCTGTAACCCCCACAGTGGTTCTTCCTCATGTCCAGGTGGAACTTTCAGTGCATCAGTTCCTGCCCATTTTCTCTTGTCCTATTGCTCAGCAGCACCGAGCAGAGCCCAGTCCATGCTCTGACCCCTCCCTGCAGACACTGGCAGACATTAATGAGGTCTCCCCTCAGTCATCTCTTTTAGAGGCTCAGCATGCCCAACTCGCTCAGCCTTTCCTCATAAGAGAGATGTTCCATCCCCTTGACCACCTTTAAACATGTAGTTTAGAGTTCTCCCATTTCCTCTGTTTCAGTAAATACAAGATCTGTATAGTCCATAATTATATAGACAAGTTTTAATGACTGCTTTCCTCCTTTGCAAAACAGTTTTTCTCAGTTTTGTTCTTAAAGAGGCACTCCCATCAGCTGATTTTTCATGCCAATGGACATAAATGAAACAGACTAACCAAACATCCTCAGAGACAGACCGGGCTTGGCCTAAGTTTATTTTTGTGAACATGTCTCATCATTCCTGGATTTCTGAAAGTTTACTATAGTTATCCAGCTCACGTGTCTGGCAAATGATGCAAATCACGAATGAGTAATACTGGCAGAGCTAGAGAAAAACAATCAGGTGTTAAATCAGAGCTAGGGTAACCAGGTTGCAGGTTGATAACTCCTGTGCAGAATTTAACCACACTGTCAAACAGCGGAGTCCAAATCAAAAATGCAAACAGGTTCAGAAGAAAACTTCCTCTTGTAGGATTCAATATCATTGTATTTATTTAGTAAGTAGCTCTTAAATGTATGGTCTGAATAAATAAGTCTTTATTTTTCTAAATTACAAGAAACTGGTAGAATAAACTAAGAGAAATATTATTTCATGCCCATTTTGCTTCCAGTGGTCCAAACATCTTCTTTCTAAGATGTCCCATAGCCACCATTACAGGCATGTTTGAGCTGCCCCTGCCTGGCAATGCTTAATGTGCTGTGCTGATTCTCCCTCAAGCCCACAGCATGTGCTTAAATACTTTGCAACCACAGGAAAATGTACCGACCCAACTGTCACAGAGAACACAGTGACTTTGGGCCTCCACTCCAGTAATATTATTGTCAAATACTCCTTGACTCACACTGAGAATTTTCTACCATCACATTTCACAGAGTGGGTCAGGTTGGAGAGGACCACACATGCGGTCCAACTTCCCTGCTCAAGCAGGGCCATTCTAGGACACACTGCCAAGAATTGCACCCAGAGGGTTCTTCAATATCTCCAGTGAGGGAGACTCCACAGCCTCTCTGGGCACCTGTTCCAAAGTGCTGTAACCCCCACAGTGGTTCTTCCTCATGTCCAGGTGGAACTTTCAGTGCATCAGTTCCTGCCCATTTTCTCTTGTCCTATTGCTCAGCAGCACCGAGCAGAGCCCAGTCCATGCTCTGACCCCTCCCTGCAGACACTGGCAGACATTAATGAGGTCTCCCCTCAGTCATCTCTTTTAGAGGCTCAGCATGCCCAACTCGCTCAGCCTTTCCTCATAAGAGAGATGTTCCATCCCCTTGACCACCTTTGTATCTCTCTGCTGGACCCACTCCAGGAGCTCCACGGTTGTTTTTACCGAGGAGCCCAGAACTGGGCACAGCATTCCAGACAAGGCCTCACCTGGCCTGAGCAGAAGGGCAGGATCTCCTCCCTTGACCTGCTGCCAAAGCTCTTCCCAATGCATCCCAGGACACCACTGGCCCTCCTGGCCTCAAGGGCACTGCTGGCTCACGGACAGCTTGTTGTCCACTGTGACCCCCAGTCCTTGTCCTGCTTTCCATCAGGTTGGGCCCAGCCTGTGCCAGGGGCTGTTCCTCCCCAGGTGCAGGACGCTGCACCTGCCTTTGTTGAACTTCAGACAGTTCTTGTCTGCCCATCTCTCCAGGTCCCTCTGAAGGGCTGCAGACCCCTCCTCAGCTTTGTGTCACCAGTGAACACCCTGAGCAGGCCTCTGCCCCTTCCTCCAGGTTGCTGAGGAGTAAAGTAAACAATACTGGGCCCAGCACTGACCCTTGGGTGACACCACTAGTGACAGGCCTCCAACTAGACCCTGTGCCACTGATTATCCTTTGGGATCTGCCACTCAGCCAGTTTTCAATCCATGTCACTGCCCACTCGTCCAGTCCACACTGCCTGAGTTTGCTTACGAGGATATTGTGAGACACAGTGCTGAAGGCCTTGCACTGGGTGTGACCATACCCTGGTTGTTGGTGGGGATGGAAGAGCAGCCAGATGCATTCAGCTGGAATGACCTTAGCTATTAACAGAAGGGCACGAGAAGGCCTTTCTCTTCATGGCTGAGAGCACTCCCTCCAAAAAACTCTGCTCTGAAACATGCCTTAGCACCAAAACCCTGGGACTGTGGATGAGACCTAAGTAGGCAAAAAGAATATAGCAGGTAGAAAATACCTTTTTGTGCCACAACTGCAATGCCTAGAGGTTCTGCTTTTATGAAACTTGCCCATTTTGTTACTCTATAGACAGCACACCATGTTCTGCTCCTGGGAGAGTCTTTAACCACCAAGGTCTTGGCATCATGGGAGGTCACTGAACAGACCACATTTCCTGGCTGCCAATGGCTCCATTTCTCAGTTCACATTTTTCCCAAATACTATGTTTACAACCTGCTGAATTTATAGGGTCCCATTCTGTTGGGAGGATATTAAAATAATTGAAAAATGAAATCAGAGAATCATATATCATGCTTTGGGTTGGAAGGGACTTTAGAGATTGTCTCATTCCAAACCCCCTGCCATTGGCAGGGACACCTTTCATGAGGTTGCTCAGAGCCCATCCAGCCTTGCCTTGAACACTACCCAGGATGGGGCACCCACAGTTTCTCTCAGCATCCTCTGCCAGTGCCTCACCACCCTCACAGAAAGAATTTCTTTCTAATGTCTACTCTAACCTATTTACTTTCAGTTTAAAGGCATTATCCCTTGTCTTATCACTACATGGCCTTGTAAAAAGTCCCTGTCCACCTCTCTTGTAGTCCATTTAGGTCCTGGAAGGTGGTAGAAGATCTTCCCAGAGACTTCTTTTCTCTAGGGTGAAGAACTCAAAGTCTCTCAAGCTGTTTTCACAGGGTCATCTTCCTGACCTCCCCTGGACTGTTCCAACAGGTCCATGTCCTTATTGTGGTGGGGGTCCCAAAGCTGGATGCAGTACTCCAGGTGGGGTCATATTAGAATGAATATAGGAAATCACAGTTAAGGATGTTTGCAATCTGTCTCTAGTAATGAACCCTGTACTAATGAAAGAGAAGCAATACTGTTGCTCTGGTTTTAGGGGAAAAGCTGTGCCTTATGGGTTTTCAGCTTGCAGGTCACTTTGCCTATGCATCTATGAAAAAATGAGATCTTCCTTTAAATTCTTGTAAGTGTCAGGTGAAATGTATAATTTTGGTGATTGCCACAACTACATGTATACCTCACATTTCCAAAAAAATATGTTATAAATTATCTGTAAATTAGTAGTGCAATTTTTCACACAGTAATGAAGTCAACAACAGCAATAATAATAATAATAATAATAATAATAATAATAATAATAATAATAGTAATAATAATAATAATAATAATAATAATAATAATGTCAATTTGGTGTCATGAACCAATAACCGTCACCTCAAATATCTTACAACCTAGGATAGCTAGACCAAAAATAACAACAACAAAAAATGAACAACAAAAAAAATTGAAGATCAGTATGGTTACTGTTTACCAGAAATGCTTAAATGCAATTTTTTGCTTTAATTTTTGGATGCGCTTTGTTGTTAGGATATCATTCAGAAGGAAGAGTCAAACTACTGTTCAAAACCCAGAACTGCTGCTCAAACCACATTACAATTCTAAAAAATAGCTAAAAAAAGAAAAGAAAAAACTGAAGTAAGAAAATCAGAAACAGGCACTGTGGAGAATGCCATGGATAGATGTAATGATTTTTATAGATGCCAATAGTAGATTCAGTGCATTGTTTATTGCTTCATCATTTGGGGGATTAATTTACAAAGAGGGTTTCTAGAGATTCTCTGTGCTACCCAGAACTGCAATGGGTCATTGACTGATGGCTCTTGTGAGTCTGTTTTCACATGTACAATGTGAAGACATTTTTAACTGAGGTTTTAAAAGCCTGACAAGGTATTTTACTTGTTGTTTTGATGGATGATGTAATTTTCCAATTTTTGACAATCACTGAGATACCACAAAAAAAAGGTGGTTTTCGTAGTGAGTCAGCCCTTAGCCAAAACTGAAAGTTTACGTTATTAATTCGACCGAGCATTCAGACTTCTGTGGCTATTTCACATCTGAGCCTTCTGGGTTTTTAGACTTGACACTATCACTGCCAATTTTATTACACAGATCTGCAGTTCTGTGAGCCTGTGAACTCCTGGGTGGAGACCCAGATGCCACCATTGCTACACACACTGTGATTTCTGCTTCATGTGGCCTCTGCTGGGCAGGAACATGCAACTCAGGGTGCAATGATTACATTGCTAGTCCTGAGACCAACTGGTCCCACACCCTGGGACTTCAGGGAGGCTTCTCCACCTCTCACCCCTTCCCTGAGGTCCTCTGTCTCCTCCTCAGCACAGAATTTTCCTCACCTCTCCCTTTCCATTACCATGCTCTGCCATAACCACAGCAGTTTCTCCCCCACTGGACACCTTAAAACACCTGACAATTAAATTGCCTTGTTTTAAAACCAAAACAGCACACAGAATAAAGAAAGAAAAAAAAAAAACCGAAAAAAAAAAAAAAAGCCAAAAAAAACCCCACCCCACACATAAAATGAACAAACAAACAAAAAAAAACCCCAAAAAACCCAAACAAAACAAACAAACAAAAAATTTGACAAACCAGAAAACCTTAAAACAAAAAAGAAACAACAAAACAAACCCTGACTTCCTGTGTCTTTGCAGATTGAGAGCTCCTTCCAGATTCACAGCCTGTGTGCACTTTTCTGCAGTTGCACACCATAGCCCACCACAAGATGATGAAATAGGCAGGGCGGATGGCATCATGACCACAAAACAGGATGCAACCCAAGATGCTGTCACGTGAAGTCAGCTCCTACACCTGTGCCCGTGGGACACAACCCCCACTCTTGGTCAGACTGTCCCCCTTCTGTTTTCTCCTTCTGGGCATCCACGCTCCTCCACTCCTCACCTGCACACGTGGAAAAGGTGGGAATGGTGACAGCCCTGCTGTGGGGCACACATACACTATCCACACCCATGAGGGAGGCATGGAGCAGCTGATATAGGTCTTTCCCATAGCACTTAGGGTTCAGAGAGTAGAAACAGGTTGTAAAGTACAAAAAATAGTTTGTTGTTAAGTGCAACCCTCTTTTTTCTGTTTCCCCTATTTACTTCTCCTTTATTCTCTTTGGAGTCAGCCGGTGCATCTGCAGAGAGGTCTCTGGTGAGGAAGAACACAGTGTCCTTGCCCTTGAAGGCAGACTTGTTATTTCTCACTTTTTTGTTTGCACTCTTAATGCCAAAGGTCACCCTCACAGCTTTCCCTCTCACACCCCTCAGCAGCACAACCACAGCCACAAATGTGTGTGCTGTGGGGAGACACAGCTCCCACAGCACAAAATTATGGATGCATGGCAGAAGTTGTCCCCATGTTCACAGCCAGCATGGATATGAAAAATAAGCTCTGTGCTGATTTTGCGTTCCCTGAGGTCACCTGGAAAAAACATGAAGCAGGATCTCAAATGTGGGGTTCACTTAGCAAAGAGGGGATTATGATCTGCAGCTGATGGTGTTACATGGAGCTGCTCCCCCATAGCAGGGCTCTCCTGAAGCCAGATGTGGATGGATCCAATGGCTAGGTCAGCATGGTAACAGGAACTCAGGGAGGACAGCACTCCTCTGCATCTGACCACCCTGTCCAACCACTTCCAGCACCTCCCCCTTTTCTGTGGGGGCTGCTCTCACTCACAGAGAAAGCACTGGGAGCCCAAAGGGACTCCTTTCTGACAGGAAGGGACAAGCTTCCTTCCATTTCTGTGCAAGGTCATTGCCACCAACACATTTTTTCTTGCAGCCCTTCACGCCTAAGGCTCCTAGGGCTTGTCTGCAGAGCAGCTGCAGGGGACTTCCCATCTCCTGGGAGGCTTTTTTCTCCTGTTCAGAAAAGGCAGAAAAAGTCAGCCCCTTCTTCTCCTCTGTGTGTGTCTGCAAATAAAAAGTAGAAACGGAAATGAGCTCGTTTCAGTGCTATCAGTCATGTAGTTTAAAAGTGAAACTACCTCACAACATGGGATGTTGTCAGCACTCTCATAACTCTCATAACATCACTATTGTCAGACTAGTGATGATTCAAGTGGTCCCTCTGCCTTCACAGTTGGTTGCCACCCTGACAGCTTTCACCAAACACAGTTTCAGCCTGTGACACCTCTCTACCAGCACAACCCACAAAGGGACCTCTGGTGTAGAGGTTTCACACTGCCACAATGCAGCATGCAGATCCCGAAATGGAAATGCCTCCCCACAGCAATGTTCTGGTGGCTGGAGGCTGCTGCAATTCACTGCAACCCCCTGAAATGGATGCATGGGGGGTGTGTGGGTGTGTGCGTGTGTGTGTGTATGTGTGTATGTTTGGAGGAGGGGTTTACCAGCACAACCCACAAAGGGACCTCTGGTGTAGAGGTTTCACACTGCCACAATGCAGCATGCAGATCCCGAAATGGAAATGCCTCCCCACAGCAATGTTCTGGTGGCTGGAGGCTGCTGCAATTCACTGCAACCCCCTGAAATGGATGCATGGGGGGTGTGTGGGTGTGTGCGTGTGTGTGTGTATGTGTGTATGTTTGGAGGAGGGGAACAACCTCCTCCTATGGTTCTGATGATCTACTCACAATAAAGTCTCATACTTTTCATTGTGCCTTTTTTTTTTTCCTGAAATAGACATTTTGAAGGGAAACCTAAATATTTTTTTTTCTTTACTATAGCAAAGACATGGCCTCAGGATGCACCAAACACACCTAATGGTTTATTCACATAAATCACAGGCAATTTGAATGGTAGGGGAGATCCTATACTTAGTACATTGCATGTACCATCTACCTTATTCAAATGTATAGTTCTAATGAAATACCAAAACACTTTTTAAAGCCCTAAAACTTTCAAGGGAGAATGTTTCACAAAAGGTAATATATTTCACTTTGGTTCAGTCCCTGCATTCTCTCATTAAATCTTTTTCTCTTTTGCTTTAAGTTCACAGAATCATAGAAAGGCTGGGGTTGGAAGGGACCTTAAAGATCTTGTTCCAACCCCTCTGCCATGGACAGGAACACCTCCCACCAGACCAAGCTGCTCAAAACCCCATTCAAGCTGTTCTTGAACACTTCCAGGGATGGGTCATCCACAGATTCTCTGGACAGCCTATTCCAGTGCCTCACCACCCTTACAGTAAAGAATTTCTTCCTGATATCTCATCTAAACCCACTCTCAGTTTGGAGCCATTCCCCCTTGTCCTGTCACTACATGCCCTTATGAAAAGTCCCTCTCTGTTGCTCTTGTCAGCTCCCTTCAGCTACTGGAAGGTCAAAGTTAGGTCACCCTTAAGTCTTCTCTGCTCCACACTGAACAATTCCATCTCTCTCAGCCTTTCCTCATAGGAGAGGTGCTCCACTGAAAACATTTTCCACTTTATGTCTGGTTTGTGGGATTTAGGGGCACTAAGGAATTCTTTATCTAAAAGAAGATTGTTCAAAACAGGCACTTCCAAAACCCAGCTCAAAGAAATAATTGTTCACATTAGTCTGAAAATCCCCTGCCCATGCAAAATAGCACCTGTCCCATCTGGAAAGCATTGGAAAGGTACAGGGGAGACTCTGCAGCACTGAAGCACTGCTGCTGCATTGCACTGGGAATCCCAGATCACCATGCTAATGTCCAAAAAAGCTAGCTTGGATTCTCTAATTTTCCTGTTAGACTTCACTGATTCACAGCAAGTCACCAGTAATGAGCCCTGTGGGGGTTACCAGGTTGCTGCCTCAGCTGCAAGGCAGTGGCATGCCAGCAAAGCAGCAACTGTCTCACAAATGGGATTTCCCTTTTTTTTTTTCAACCCCATGCCTGCTGCATTGACTATACACAAAAATTATGACAAAATGTGGGGGAGGTGCAGGAAACAAGGGAACCAGAAGAACAAGAAAGCAAGAACCCAAAAAAGATCTGTCAGAGCAGGAAGCAACGAAGAATTTCAGAAATGGAGCACATTCACATTCTCAGCAAAGATAGCAAGACAGAAAACAGCCGCAGTCACCGTCCAAGGGAGGACCTCTGCAAAAACCCAGCAGTAATGGCACAGCTGTGCTAACACTATGCCTGGCGTTTGCACAGACACCTACACACATGGAGGAGAGCTCTTCAGCAAATACCAGACTCATAAACAGCGATCAACACCAATATTTACTTTACTAACTCCTACCTCTGGATAGCAGCCGCAAAGATTGGTTTTTATGAGGGTGTTGTCAACTTCACAGGTGCTAAAACCCACTTAACAAAGTACCTAGTGAATCATTCCATCTCTTACAACCTTTTTATAAAGTTGGAAACCTTTCTGGTGACTACTAAAAGGATTAATTGGGAATGACTTTACAAGGAGCCACCTGCAGGACCGCTGCTTTCTGCTTTCACAGAAAATTCAGCTCACCAGATAATCTGGCCCCTTTTTAAAAATTAATTTAAAACTGATCTTAGCCTAAGACCCGGAAAATTATGTCAACAAAGGTTCTTTAAAAAATACTTCTTGATTAAAGAGCATAAAATATGAACTTTTTTACACTCCAGCTATATCAAGGAGTCTCTCTTCTATTCAACCCCATCCTCAACCAAATATTACAGCTCTCAGCAGGAGTACTGGCTGGCCCGTTCTGGCTTTGATGGGCACCAGATCAGACACATGTGAGTCATTGTTCAGTAGCATTTTGCAAGTAATGAATTAGTGCTGCCTGCTTTGCACAGAGGTGGTCACAGAGGAAAAGGTGTGTGTTTAACCCTCTGGCAGTGACAGCGCACTGTAATATATGACCAACCATGTAGTTCACTTTTTACTAAGAAAATTATGCATTTAAGCTTTCAAGGGAAGCAGGCAAGAGAGAACAGCATAGGAGGGAGAGTCTAAGAATTAATTGTGAGGCATTAGGTAACATTTAAGCAGCATATGAGGTCTGTGAGAGTAGGGTTATATCCCAGCAGTGCTGTTCTTCTTAGTTTCTTTTCCTGGGTGGTATGGGATCACACTGTCAAATCAAAGTCAAATCAGCTGGAGTATTTCACTTAGCTACTGAAAGCTGCATTAACCTTTTCCCTCACCACAGTGGAGGTGTCAGCAGCAGTAGCTGCTGGAGGCCAAAGCTTTGCTACAGTTGCCACCAGAATATTATTAACACAGAGCAAGGCCATTTCCATGAAAAGCGAGGTTGAGATTAATGTCTAAGGCTGGACGATTTAGGAAGCTCTACTTGTAACAGTGAGAGATCCCTGGAGAAAAAGTGCATGAGAAGAGCAAACCAGAGAATTAGAGTGATTTATGAAAAAAAAAAAAAACTAAAAAAACCCCAAAAAAACAACAACAAAAAACCACCCAAACAAACAAAACCAAACAACCACCACCAACAAAAACACAACAAAAGAAAAAGAAAAAACAAGCAAAACAAAATAACCCAAAGCACCACAAAAACAAACAAACAAAACTTATCCATGGCTCTCATCACCCTCTCGGCATGGCCCATGGCCACATGCCACTGCACTTTCCTGAAATGACCTTGGTTTGTACTCCTGACAATAGAGCCAAGTTTCCTGATCGGGTGCAGAGACACACACGGATCAACAGGAACTGTCGACTCTGCAGTCTGCAGAAACGGGAAAAGGGAGACAGAAAAACAAACAGCTTCTCAGTTAACACAAGAGCTGTCAACACCAGTCTTGGGAAGATGAGAAGACAAACTCCAATGATGAAGCAGTATCAGAGATTTATTTAAGATCTTAGAGGAAGGTGCAGAAACAGCTTGAAAATGATTCAGCACAAATAACTGAGTTCTGAGAAAAAAAAACGTAGTTTCCTTTCTCTCCCACTCTTGCTTTCATTTCTGCAACATTTGATTTCCTTCCAGCAACCCTGCCACACAACAGTTGTTTATATGTGGTGAGAGTGTGTCACATGCTGTCTTTTACGGACACGTTCCTGATAAAACCACATCACCCACACCAGTGAAGCTTGGGGCACATTATCTAAAGAAAATTTTCTCTTCTCAGCAATTGTGTAATTGTGTATTGCAATTGTGTAATTGCAATAACTTTGGATGATACTACGCAGAAATAGACCAAGCAGCAGCTCCAGCAGCAGCTTGGGCTGCTTTGCTCCCCGCTATGGCTGTGCCCACCTGGCGACCTGTGGTCCTGCTCAGTGTGGCCAAAGCAAGAAACAACTTTTGTGGCTGCTCTGGTACAGCAGATTCCCAGGGCTCTGTGCTTCCCACAGATACACTTCCTTATTTAGGGGAATCGAAACAAGAAAACGTCAGAGCTCGCCAGTGGCTTTTGAAACCACATTCTACTTTTCGCTCAGCCCTGTTGCACAATCCTATAATTAGCAGCGACCCCAGCATATACTGTTCCCGCCAAAATGGGCTGAGATTTACACATCAGTAACTCCCTCACACACCAGTAAAACCCTACGAGGATGTGGGCCAGATCTGGAATTTGAGGCAATTCCCCTCTAAACAGCAGCGGGTTTCCCTGCATTACACCACTGCACTCAGACACATGGCGCTGACTGCAGCAAGAGGGAAACAAGAACTTCAGGCACTTGGGCTCACAGGTTGGTCTAGTAACCATTTTGCACACTGAAGTGTGCCCTTTTCTATTGCCTTTTATCCTTCTGTATTACATTGTACCCTTTATTACCTATTATTCCATTTTTATTACCTTTATCACTACTTTAAAATAAAACAAAGAAAATAAACAAATGCTCTCAATTCAATTATCCTACTGGTTTGTGCACTGCTGCC